AAGATCCACTCCTTTTCCTTGTTAACGGAGCCCTCAACGGGGAACATCGGGTGCTTAACAGGGAAAAAACAGAGTTGCACTCTCGGGCACTTTTTCCTGTTAACGGAGCCCTTAACAGGGACTCAACAAGGAAAATAGGGTCACGGACGCGGTATTCCCTGTAAACGGACCCTGAACACCGCGGCTCTCAAGAGCGAGCAGAGACGTAAACAGGCTGATAAGACCAAGGCTCCCAACAGAGAGCGGTGACGTAATCAGTTTTGACACCAGGGCCCGAAACGGGTGGCATCGTAAGCTCCGCGTAAGTTCCGCGTAGGCTTCGCGTAAGCGCGTTAAATCCTCGTCATTTTGAGGTACCTGCAAGACAGCCCATGAGAGACCAGGTGTCCTCCAAGACGGTCCAAGATGCCTCCCAGACGACCCAAGAGGCCAGAGGCCCGTAAGATCGCTCCAAGATGGCCCAAGATACCCCCGAGACAGCCCCAAGACGTGTTCGAACATCTGCACGTATGCAGACGGCTTTAACGACCTCCAAGACGGTGTAGAGAGGCCCAGACAGGCCCGAGGACGGTCCAAGAGCGATCCAGATAGCCCACGACGGCCTCAATACGGCTCAAGAGGTCTCCAAGACCCCCCCGCCCAGAGCACCGACGGGCGGTCTAAGCGGGAAAAAAAACGAAAGTAGGACTTTCGCCGCCCGGGGGGCGCCCTTGGCCCCGCCCCACCTGCCTAAGCTCCTCGCCAGCTTAAGGCACCTCCAAGACGGCGTGAGAGAGGCCCAGACGGGACCGAAGACGGCCCACGAGCGATCCAAGATAGCCCAAGGTGGCCTCAGCACAGCCCAAGAGGCTTCCAAGACACCCCAAGCGGCACCCGAGAGGACCCCCAAAAGTGCTGGAGGACTAGTAAACCATTGTTGTCTTTAGTTTTATGAAGGTTTTCCAGCTCCTCGCCTTTTCGGGCAAGAACGGCCGGATACAGCTCCAGAGCCCCCCGAGATTGTGCCATGATGGCCCGAGAGGTCCCAAGAGGGCCTGAGAGAGCCACAAGACGGCCCAAGGAGGGCCTGGGAGACGCCCAAGATGCTCCCAAGAGACAGTATGTCGTCGTCATCATCATCAACAGTGCGTTCCTAATCTTCATTTGTCTTTTATCGCGCTATAATGCCTTCCCAAGATACTAACACGCCATGGTTCCCCCTCAAGAGGCCTCCTGCAGCTTTGAGATAGCCCTAGAGGGCGCCCAATATGCCACCAAGATGCCCCAAGAGAGCCTCCAGACGGGGAGACAGAGAGAAAGAACGGGCAAGCCAGCGACATCTCGCGCTCTGAAAGTAAATTCGCTTTCCGTCCCCGTGCCAAGCAGGTCTAACAGCCTTCGGCCCACCCCGCCACCGTGCCTAGGTGGTGGGTCTGAGGCATCTTGGATGTTCGTCGGGATCTTGTCGAGACCTGTCCGTGGCCTCCTGGAGGCAGTTCTGAGGCCTTCGGGGGGTTGTTTTGGGGCCTCTTGGGGCCTCTTGGGTCTCCTGGGGCCTCTTGGGGCCTCGTGGGAGCCTCTTGGATTCTTGGGCCCCCTCATGGGGTCGTCGTGGGGCCCTCTTGGGCCGTCTTGTGTGCCTCTTGGGGTTGAGCCTTCTTGGGCCGTCTTGGGCGCCTCTTGGGCCCTCTCGGGGCCCTCTTGGGGGCCTCTGGGACCGTCTTGGGGCGGTATTGGGGGGCTCTCAGGACGTCTCGGAGCGTCGGAAGCTAGACACGTGGAGACCACGCAAACATAGAAAAACCAAGGGGGGACCAATGGTTTGGGCAGACTAGAGGCCATCTTGGGCGTCTTGGGCCGATCGTTCAGCGCTTCGAGGCCATCTTGGACCATCTTGGGGGCCTCTTGGGGCTCGGAAGACCGCCCTGGGGAGTTCTGGCATCCTTGGGTGACCTTGCCAGGACTTTGCCAGGGGCGGCCCCGCGCGCGCGAATTAGAAGTGTTCTGGACTTGTTACGGGAGATCTTAGCACGCTTCTGGCCCGTTGGGCCGGTGAACTCGTTGTGGGAGCTCTCCCGAAATATAGGTGATAATGGTTTGGGGGAGTTTTGGGAGTTTTCCAACATATGGCATTGCCAGCGCAATTGTGTGAGAGAATGGCCGCAGTTCGTTTCATGCTTTGTCTGGCTTGTGGGATCGCCCACACCTCCATGTTGAGCTGAGGACGTGGTAGTTTTGGCTGTGGACATGGCGCCGTATAGATTTCCGCTTTCTGCATCGCTCATGTTGAACTTGCACAGCAGATTGGCAGGGTACCACGAACATGTATTATGCGAGGAGGAGAGGACGATGTGATGACAGACTGTGAGTGGAGGATGGAGGATGCAGGAGGGAGGACTGATGAGGAGAAGGGATGGGGGGAATGTGAGGAGTCAGAGGCGTAGTAGGAGGAGGAGGATGAGGAGGATGAGGAGGACGAGGATGAGGATGAGGATGAGGATGAGGAGGAGGAGGAGGAGGAGGAGGAGGAGGACGAGGATGAGGATGAGGTTGAGGAGGAGGAGGAGGAGGAGGAGGAGGAGGAGGAGGAGAAGGACGGGGAGGGGTGTAAGTTTTAACAGGAGGAGGGAGATGGGTAACTTTTAACAGGAGAAAGAAGGGTGTCTAGTGGCCTTCGGCCCATCTGGACCGTGCCTGGCGCATGGACAAGAGGCTTCTGAAGGGCCTCTTAGGGTAAACATCTTGGGATGTTCTCGGGGGCCTCTTGGAAGTCGTTTTGGGGGCAGGGGGAGGGGAGAGGGGTGGGGAGGGGGAGGGGTGGGGGTGGGGGCGGCGAGGGTCTGGTGGGTGGAATGGCTTCTGGAAACGATGATGCCCATGGTGGCGACGGACACGGCGGTGAAAACGGGGGTTGTGGTCATGATGACGATACTGATACTGATGATGATGATGATGATGATGATGATGATGATGATGATGATGATGATGATGATGATGATGATGATGATGATGATGATGATGATGATGATGATGATGATGATGATGATGATGATGATGATGATGATGATGATGATGATGATGATGATGATGATGATGATGATGATGATGATGATGATGCTGATGATGATGATGATGATGATGATGAGGAAGGTGAGGGTGATTGTGATGGTGATGGTGATGATGATGAGAAGGAGGATGAGTTGGCGGATGTATACGTGGAGGACACGGAGGAGGAGGGGGCATGATGGTGTTTGTGGTGGTCATGCTGCTGATGATGATGACGATGACGATGACGCAGATGCTGCTGTTGCTGCTGCTGATGATGATGACGATGAGGATGCTGATGCTGATGCTGATGCTGACGACGATGCTGATGATGAGGCTGATGCTGATGATGATAGTGGTGGTGGTGAGGATGGCGATGACGATGATGACGGCGATCGTGATGATATTGCTGATGATGATAATGATGGTGATGATGCTGATGACGATGACGATGATGATGCTGATGACGATGCTGCTGATGATGCTGTTGACGCTGATGATGCTGATGCTGATGCTGATGATGACGCTAATTCTGATGATGCTGATGATGATGGTGATGATGATGCTGATGACGATTATGATGTGGATGATGATGCTGATGCTGATGATAATGATGATGGTGATGATGATGATGCTGATGAGGCTGATGATAATGGTCATGATGACGATGCTGATGACGCTGATGATGATGCTGATGACGATGATTATTATGCTGTTGATGATTATGATGATGATGACGATGATGATGATGATGATGATGATGATGATGATGATGATGATGATGATGATGCCGAGAATGATGCTGCTGACACTGCTGCTAATGATGATGCGGACGATGATATTGATGATGCTGCTGATGATGATGCTGATGATGATGATGGTGGTGGTGATGCTGCTGCTGATGATGATGATATTGGTGGTGGTGATGATGACGATGATGCTGATGATGCTGCTGCTGCTGATGATGATGATGATGATGATGATGATGACTGTGATGACGAAGATGATGATGGTCATGCTGATGATGATGCTGATGATACTGACGATGTGGATGATACTGGTGATGATTATGATGATTATGCTGCCGATGATGATGATGCTGGTGATGATGATGCTGTTGCTGATGATGATATGATGCTGATGATGATGCTGCTGATGCTGCTGAGGATGCTGATTCTGATCATGCTGATGACGAATTATGATGATGATGATGCTGATGATGATGATGATGATGATGATGATGGTGGTGGTGGTGGTGGTGGTGATGATGAGGAGGAGAAGGAGGAGGAGGAGGATGATGATGATGATGATGATGATGCTGCTGATGATGATGGTGATGATGCTGCTGATGATGATGAGGATGATGATGATGCTGATGATGCTGATGGCGATGATGAGGATGATGATGATGATGATGATGATGATGATGATGATGATGATGATGATGATGATGATGATGATGATGATGATGATGTCGACGACGACGACGACGACGACGACGACGACGACGACGACGACGACGATGATGATGATGATGATGATGATGATGATGATGATGATGATGATGATGCTGCTGCTGATGGGGGTGCGTGCACGGATATGATTAAGCGGGGAGTGGGTTTGTCGTCTGCCAACGATTAGCAGGGAGCATTGCGACTGCAGCCCTTCTCGGTTCTCAGGCTATGCAGTGGCAAGCGCCTCCGAACATTCCACTGTGGCTGGTTCTCTGGTTGCAGCCCGGAGAGCTCGTGCAAGAGCAGCTCTCGCAGTCCGTGCGGGAGCGCGAGCTGGCAGCGGCTCGCAACTGGACGGCGAGCGCGGCCCGCCGCCTCCGCCGCCCCCACCGCCGCCGCCTGCCGCGCCCGCGGCCGCGTCGGCGGCGGCGGCTGGGGCGCCCCTGTGGGCGGCGGCCGGGTGCCCCGCCTGGGAGCCAGCGGCGGGGGAGTGCCCCGCGGTCGCGCCCGAGCCCCCAGCAGGCTGGGCCAGCGGGCCGCTGCTGTGGTGGGCGGGGCAGGTGCTCGGCGGCGCCGCGTGGCGACTGTGGCAGGCGCGGCGAGGGGCGAGGACAGCGACGGCTACGAGAGATGGCGAGAGCTCACGTGCCGTTGCGCCTCGCCGCGGGGAGCAGGAGTTCTGGCGTGAGGCGGCGGTGGGCTCGCGAGCCCGCGTGAGTTACTCGGACGATGACGTGGATCACGAGAGATATCTACTATGGCCAGCTCGACGTGTGCGCGAGGACGGATCGGGGATAGGGGGCGACGAGGTCTGGTGGGTTCTCTCTCCCGACGGGGACGTGTGGAAGGAACGGCTCGACGGAGAAGATCGTCTCACGGGCCCAAGCGGGGCTCGACCGATGCCGAACGTCGGCTACCCGTTGCTTGGCGCTCGGCGGCTGTACAAGTTCAGGGAGAGACCGAATCTTGAGCAGATCGTGGCGCTGAGCAGGGGGTGCCGTGACGTCGAGACGGCGAGGGGGCAGAAGATGGAGGAATGGCCGAAGAACGTTGTCGGGGACGATGGTCATCGTACTGAGCTGTCGGCTGTGTTGCGTGCTGCTCGAGGTGACCTGGCCCAGTTTCAGTTTGTGGGCGCCTCTCCCCCTGCAGACACGATCTGGGTGCTGATGGAGCCAGGCGGCGGGCGGGCTATAGGCGAGGAAGTGCACGTGACGCCGACGGACGTGACGACGGGCAGCGACGGGCTGAAGTTCATGGGATCGGAGGTGTCCCGAGTGCGCCGAGTGGCTGTCGGTAGTGCACCCGCCTTGGCCAGCAAGCAGAGAGCGCGCCTGCGCCGAGCCATAGACGTGCTGGAGCCGCTGGTTGACAGATCTGTGGAACAGGGAGTGAAGGGCCAGCTCGGGCTGAACACTAGCGACAACGGGGGTGAGGCTGGCAGTGGAGAGGGGCGCAAAGCGACCAGTAGCGTGGACGACGTGAGGACCCTCAGCGTCGACTTCGACGGGCGCGGCGAAAGGTTCAAGGACTGGCGCAGCGTGGTGAGCGAGATCGCGGCCGAGAGCTTCCCCGACGACCCGATCGATGGGCCCGTGTCGATCGTCCACCTGGCGAAGGCCATGTACAAGAGCGGCGGCGACCCGATGCGATGGCTGGCCGAGCTAGCAGGAACCTACGACCAGGTGAATTTGGGCGGTCTGAGGTCGTTGGAGAGGCTCGCGAGGCGGATCCAGGTGATCACGGACGCCCATTCTGTGCCTGGGGCTCCAGCCAACTGGCGGATTGCCCGCTACCTCGCAGGCGAGACGGGCCCAGGAGACGTGGTGGCGCCTGAGCTGCGCAGCTTCGGTGCCAAGCGGGCCAAGGAGGACGCCGAGTTCCTGAGCGCTCGTGTTCGGGGCCTCACTGCGGCCGAGCGGCCCAAGACAGAGAAAGGTGACCGCAAGGGCGACAAGAAGGGGCCGACAGGGCCGAAGAAGGCTCCCGACGCGACCGCGTCGGGAGCTGACAGATGATGATGGAAGGTGTGGCCACTGGACGTGGTCCAGCCAGCGGCCTCGAGTGTGCAGGACCGCCTGGGCCGTGGCCTGGGGGCGGCGCTCGCGACATCTTCCCGCTGCCAGGGAGGGGTGAGCTCGTGGGCCAGACGGCGTCAGGACGGGGGCGGGTTCGACTTCGTCAGTGGCGTTTTCACTATGTACTGGTGAACGAGGCTGTTGACGGCCTCAATTGGCTTGCAGGGGCATTCGTGGGGTCTTCCACGACGCCCGTGACGGCCGTGCAGCTCGACGTCGCGCAGCGCATCGATGGGCAGGTGAACGACATCGTGCAGCCGATGCGAGGCGTGGAGCTGCAGCCTCCGCATTCAGCCCCGCGGGAGTTGATGCGAGGGAGGTCACCTTACCTCGGCGGCCCTCCCGAGGACGTGCTCGCCCCTCACCGACCTGGGCTGCCGTCGCTTCCCGGGGGCATCGCCGAGGCGCCTGCGCTTCGTGAACTGCTTCGGGGGCGAGCGCGCCAGTGCGTGGAGGGGCAAGGCGAGCGCATGCTGCGGGACCACGAGAGCGTGCTCGAGGCGCTGGAGCGTTGCCCGCGGGTGCCCTTCAGCGAGCCATCGCTGGTGCGGAGCCGGCGGCGGCGCGGTGCTTTTGTGAGGGATCTCGCGAAACGTGGACTGGTGTCATTTGCACGTCAGGTCTCGGAGATGGTGGGCATCTTTTTCGTGTGGAAAAAGGGGGGAGTACAGACTCGTATGATTCTGGATTGTCGCAGGAGCAACGCTTGGTTGATAGATCCCCCGCCGGTGCAGTTGCTGACGGCGGAGGGTCTCTCGGCCTTCGAGCTCGAGGAGGGCGGGGGCGCCGGGGGCCACTTGCAGGCGGCCCTCCAGGCGGCGCTCGAGGACGTGGGGTTCTCGGTGGGGGTGGCGGACGTGAAGGGCGCCTTCCACCGCGTGCGGCTGCCGCCATGGATGAAGCGCTTGTTCGGCCTGCCCGCCCTGAAGGCCGGGGGCGTCAGGCTCCACGGGGCGATGCTGGAGGGGGGGGTGCTCGGCTACACGACGTTATCTTCCCAGTCCCCGAGGCTCTCCCGATGGGATGTACCGGGGGCCTGTGCCTGTGCCAGTGCGTGACGGAGCTCCGTTGTCAGTTCGCGCCGAGCCTTCGCGACGGCGCGCCCCTCAGCGACGTGGGGGAGCCGTTGGTGCTCAGGTTGGCAGCGGGTGCGGCGCAGATCGAGCACTACGTGTGCGTCGACAACATGGGCGTGATCGGGCAGAACGGGGAGCGCGGGAGCAGCAGCCTCGACGAGCTGGTGCAGGCTTTCGAGGCCGTGGGTCTACGCGTCCACGGGCGTGAGGTTCGGAGTGACGGCATCGAGGTGCTCGGCGTGGTGCTGGACGGCCAGAGGCTGCAGACGCGCCCGACGTCGAAGAGGCTCTGGAGGGTGCGCCAGGCGATCACGGGACTGCTCCAACTTCGTGCAGTCCGTGGTGATGACCTGCGCGTCCTGCTGGGGCACTGCGCGTACCTGGGCCTGGTGCGCCGCCCCGTGCTTTGCGTCTTTCACTCTTGTTATAGGTTTGTGACTAAAGTGGGCAACGATTCAGCACCACCTTGGAATAGTTGCCGAGTAGAGTTGAAGGCATTTCGAGGCTTGCATCCCCTGGTCGTCTCAGATTGCTGGTTGCCATATAATCGATGGGTGCAGTGTTCAGATGCTTCAGAGAGCGGGTTTGGTATAGCGAAGAGCTTCTGGGACCTCGAGGCTCTCAACTCCGTGGGGCGCTGGCGGGAGAGGAGTCGTTTCCGTGCCGAGGGGGGGGGGGGGGGCGGGGGGTGACGCTCGTCGCTCCGCCCTCTGTGCCGCGGGTCTTGGGGAGTTTCTTACCGCCAGGGGAGAGGGCGTCGCTCTCTGTGTCGACGAAGGTGAGAAGGCCTTGACCGAATCCACGCTGCCCAGGGGTGACTACGAGATGGACCCCGAGTTCTGTGAGGTGCCCAGCTCACTCCTGTCTCATCAGCTTTGGCGTAACGTGGGCCAGTGGAGAGGTGCAGTGAGCACGTAGGCGTTCTAGAGTCCAGGGCCCTCGTGAAATCTCTGAGGCGTATTGTACTCACTCGTGTCGGCCTCAATGCCAGGCAGATCTTGTTCGTCGATAGCCTAGGTGTAGCATTAGCGTTTTGATAGATGTAGGTGTCGTAGCTTCGCGATATTGCGACAGACTCGTAAGTTCGCTGCCCATCTTTTAAGTCGAAACGTTAGGGCGATCGTCCGCTGGGTCCCAAGTGAGCTTAACAATAGTGACGAAGGCTCGCGGGCCGACGGTGGCGAGTCATCCAATATTCAATCGCGTCTGATGCCTGTCTCTCTGCCTGCCTTTTCGCTTCCTCCTGAGTCGAGTCTCAGGGGCGAGGATGAGTCGAATAGTATAGTTGGCGACGACCCCCCCCCGTGTCCGTGCGCGCCGTTCGGCCCCCTTCAGCTGTCGGCGTGCTGAACCTGAGTCAGTTCTTAAGTCAGTCTGTTCTAGTTGCTGTAAGTCAGAATGTGAGCAATCGAGTAGCCCCGCTTCGGTGCACCAGGCAAGAGCTCTGGAAACCAACGAGCATCGCCGTGACCCCTCCTCTCTCGTCCTCGGGGCTCCCTGCTCCTCTGGATCCGGTGGGGCCCCTGCGCCTCGGTTTCACTCCGTGGCCGTTTTGGCTCAGGCCGTTGTGGATGCCTCGGGCGCTGCCGAGAGCTCGGCCGACCGCGACGGGCCCTTCCCCAGCAGCAGAGCCGTCGTCGGCGTCGCGGCTGAGGGTGCTCACGCGGGAGAGAGCTCGAGGCGCGAGCGGGGCCCCGTTGGAAGGCCAAGGGCCGCCAGTGCCAGCGGAGGGCTCGCGAGTGCAGTGCCTGGGGGCGGCGGCGGAGGCGCAACCTGCCGCCGCCCGAAGGCGCGTCACTGGAAAGCGGGCTCGGTCAGCTGGGGGCAGCTCGAGCGGCCGAGGCCGCCGTCGAGCTCAAGCGGCAGAGGGCGCTGGTGAGGCGTGTGAAGAGGCGGCACCACGCGGTGGCTCGTGCGATCGGGGGCGGGGTGCCGCTCGACCGATACTTGGAGTCGAGCGCGGTGACGCCGCGGGTGAGGGCCCAGTACCAGAGAGTGCTCGAGCAGTTGAAGCAGAGGTGTGGTCGCCAGGACTTTTTCGAGATGCCAGCGGAGACGATGGACGCCTGCCTGGTCCACTACTTCACCTCGCTGTACTTGCTGGGCGAGCAGGCTTCGACGGGGATGTATGTCGCGGCGGCTGTGAACCATTTCTACCCGAGGTTTGGGCGCTTGGGGGCGGACGCACTACCACGGATGTGGAAGGCGCTGCAAGGATGGAAGCGGCTGACGCCTGGGAGAGCCAGGATGCCCGAGCCGCTGAACATCTGGTGTGCCCTTATGCATGTCCTGGTGTTGCGGGGACGACGGATGATGGCGGTGTTCTCGGCGCTGGCTGTGTCGACCTACCGCAGGCCGTCGTCCCTGTTCCGTTTGCGCCCTGGCGACATAGTGAAACCAGGAGGTGGCAGTCAGCACTGGGGACTCCCCATGCGCCCCCAGGAGCGAGCGACGCCCGACAAGGTGGGAGAGTTCGACCTGAGCGTGAGGCTGGACTCCTCGTGGCTTCGGTGGATCGGGCCAGTCCTGAGCGAGATGCAGATAGCTCGATCCTCGGAGGCCTGTGTGGGAGTTCGACTACCCCGAGCTGCTGCGCGAGATGAAGGCGGCCTGCCTTATGCTGCAGCTGCGGCCCGTCGCGCCGTATCAGGCGCGGCACTCGGGCGCCAGTATCGACCGTGCCAGCTGCGAGAGGACGCAGGCAGAGGTGCAGCGGCGAGGGGGCTGGCGCCAGTCGAAGAACATGGCGCGCTACGAGAAGAGCGCGCGCCTCGGGCAGCGCGCGCAGGTGCGCGGGCCGATGCTGGAGGCGTGCGGCGACCAGTGCTTGCGCGAGCTGGAGCGCGCCTTGGTGTGGGGGCGAGCGGTGCCGCTGGCAGGAGGCATCCAGCCCTCGCCGAGCGGTGCAACGCGCTCCTGATCGGGGACGAGCTGGCCATGATCGGGTCGGGCCTCGCCGAGAGTGGGGTGCCTACCTGGGTGTGGCGAGGCGACGCCCTCTGTGACGAGCGGCTGGGCGCGCCCCTGGAGCGCCGCCTCCAGGCGCGCACGCGGCGTGGCGAGGTGGCCGTGCTTTTCCTGTCGCCCGCGCTGCCGTCGGCGAGCAAAGCTACAGGGAGGCTGGCAGGCCACCACCGTCTGCAGAGGTTTGCGGAGCGTTTGAAGCGTCTCATTGCCGCTGCTTGGCAAGCTCGAATGCCGCTCCTCCTGGAGATACCCCAGGGTAGCCGGCTCTGGCCACATCTTTTGAGCCAGCCCGAGGTGCCAGCACGTTTCGTGACGAAGGTTGCCAGTGACAGATGCATGTTCGGAGCCTCCAAGAGACACCGCTGTATATGCATGCGCGTTGGCACGGAGCCCGAAGACATATCGATATTGGCCCGTACTTGTGGCAGCTGTACAGGCATTTGTGATAGGACTGGCGTCCCTCATATCCGCCTACGGGGCAGAGATAAATTCGGAGTGAGCCACGCTAGTTTTCACTTAAACGCCCAGCGCTTTTAAACCACGCGCTCACTCACTCCCTCCAGTTCCTCGCGGGAGCCTCTATCTATAATGCTAACCCTGTGTAGGGGGCAGGGGGCTCCCGCGCGGCGGGGGGTTTTCGTCTGACTGTCTTCGGTTCCCTCTGAGCGGGGCCTTCTCGGCCCCTTGTCCCAGAGCTCTGGAGGGGCAGCTCGCTTATCGCAGCGAACCGTCGTTATCAGAACTCGGTTCTCCGCCTAGCGAAACAGCGTTTCATGGGTGTGCGTGCACGGGTATGATTGAGCGGGGAATGGGGTGTCGTTTGCCAACGACTCGCAGGGAACATTGCGACCGCAACCCTTCTCGGTTCTCCCAGCCCGCCCAACCCTGGAGGGGGGCTCCCGCGCGGCGGGGGGGTTTTCGTCTGACTGTCTGCGGTTCCCTCTGAGCGGGGCCTTTTCGGCCCCTTGTCCCAGAGCTCTGGAGGAGCAGCTCGCTTATCGCAGCGAGCCGTCGTTATCAGAGCTCGGTTCTCCGCCTAGCGAAACAGCGTTTCATGGGTGTGCGTGCACGGATATGATTGAGCGGGGAATGGGGTGTCGTTTGCCAACGACTCGCAGGGAGCATTGCGACCGCAGCCCTTCTCGGTTCTCCCATCCCGCCCAACCCTGGAGGGGGGCTCCCGCGCGGCGGGGGGGTTTTCGTCTGACTGTCTTCGGTTCCCTCTGAGCGGGGCCTTTTCGGCCCCTTGTCCCAGAGCTCTGGAGGAGCAGCTCGCTTATCGCAG